AGAATGCAACTTGTGAGCATAGCCCATTCATGGGAGGGGGCGTTTCTAGTGTTTGTTGCCACGGCTTCTTTGACACACAATAAGATTGGCTCTTCGAAGAATTGTATCTGTATGTATTTGTTTAAAGGGGTCAAGAACCCCTTTGAGCATAGATGCTATATTAAAATAAATTATAGTCATCATTTGTAATATGGCTCTTTTCCTTGGCAGAGCTTGGATTACTGTTTTGAAGTGTCTGATTACAGGATGTATACATATTTATTTTTGTTCATAATCTTTTTGGCCTGGCCTATCGTTATTCAAATTACATCTTCCTTTGCCAGCAGGGGAGGTTAAGATTACACCACAAAGTAATTACTAGCATCAGATGTATGCAATTCCCCTCCCTTTCCCGTTGCTCAGTTCAAGGCTGCAGGAGCAGTGGGGGTTGTTTGTTCTCGGTTTGGTTTTCTCCCTGCCTTTGTGGCCAAAGCTCCTGGTAATTGCATTCTTTTGCCGGAAATACCTCCTCTCTCCAGGATGGGTGAAGCCATTCATCACTTTTCTGTGTTGTGTATCCTGATGAAGGGAAGTTGTTGGCTAAAATAGTAGTTAGAAACATACTGTCCTGTTACAACTCCTTGATGATGTACTTTTTGACCAAGTCACGCAAGATGCTGCTTTCATTGCTTGTTAGTGTCAATAACCAAATAGAACGTTGACATTCAGAGGTGGTACAGCCATGTGGAATATGCAGTGGTCAGAAGGAGCATTGCCTTTGTGTTTTCCAGAAGCATATAGCTGACCAACGCTGGGAGAAGGATGCTGTGATACAACTTTCCTGTGTTGGACTGTAATTCCCAAAATCCCCCATCAGCATGGGTGATGCTGGCTGGGTATGGCTGGAGTATAGTCTAAACTGACTGGAGGGAAGGCTGCTGTAACACAAGGGTGGGGATTGCTGGGAGTTAGAGACCCTTATTCTGCCTAAGCATGCATAGGGTATCCCCTTAAATTGCTAGCAGGTGCCCCATCAAAGCAAAAAAAAAAATTTTTTTTTAAATCCAACCATGCTTGATTACATTGATCATTCTTTGACTTCCTCTGTGCTAATCTACCACCAGGCCAGCTCAGAAGCCTTGTTATTGCCTCAGTCCCTTGGCAGATTAAGGAGGGTCACTGGACTTCCCTGCCACGCTGGTTGATTGCATCTTATTTGGCAGATTAAGGAGGGTCACTGGACTTCCCTGCCATGCTGGTTGATTGCATCTTATTTATTTATTCTTTATTTATTTAGAATTTTTGTATGCCGCCCCATCGCAAAGCCTTGGGACGGCTTACATAAAATAAACATGATACAAAGAATCTTCCCTTCTGCTCTGGCAAAAAAAGTCCTGGAGCTGCACTACCCTCTTGACTTACCGCGATTAAAATCACAGTATCATAATAAAACAGCATTAAATACAATGGACCCAGATAAAAGCACAGTCTGCCTAGCAAGGTGGAAGGCCTGCTGGAACGGAAGGCTGCCTGAGCTGCTTGGAACAAGGTGCTCCACAGTTTGGATCCAGCCACAAAGGAGACTTTGATCTCTTGCCACTTTTATCTAGTAGTTCTTAGGCTCCCATTCCACTCTACCCTGAAAGTGCCTGGTGGAGTTTGCTCTGTTGAAACCAACGGCATTCAAATAACTGTTGAATATATGAGCAAAGAAGCATCTCTTGTTGCACAGGATACAGGGAAATTGAATGATATAATTTCTCTTTGTACTGAGTGCAGATGTTCCATGCAATGTAGAGAGGCTGCCAGAAGTGACATATCTGACGTGGATTTCCTTTGTTGAATGCACAGACTTTTATGTTGTTTGTGATCCCATCATGTTGTGCATTTCCTCTCCGCATCAACACATCAACAACCACCCATTGATTATGTGGGGTAGGGGTGAAGCAATGCGCCATATGGTGACACTGCGAGGAAAAGTGAGTGATGATCAGGAGCTCACACATTTTGGGGTAATTTATTTAAAACTATGTTTAGGCCACCTTAAGTCTGGAATTCTCCCAAAGCGACGTGTGTAATAAAGGAAACAGAGCAACAAAAGGATAAAAGTCGCAGCAGTTGCAAGAAAAATCAACCCACCGACAAGGCTGTTCGAGAAAAAGGTTACAAGAATAACAGGGTCTCCATTGCTTTCCGGAAGGCCTGAAAAGAAAGGCCTGATAAACCATTGATGGAATCTGATTCGACATGTCGGGCCACTGCCAAAAAGGCTCTTTCCTGCCAGCCTAACCTCCATTGACAGCAGGCAAGTGAGCACGAGTGGCTATTTTTAGCATTAGGCTCGGATCAGAAGTAATGTATAGCTTCTACAGAGCTTCTGCTTCTACACAGAAGTGCTCCCCTTTTAAAAATAACATGTCATTTTCTATAGTCCTGTAATGTGTTGCTTTTATAGATTAAAAAACAAAATCTTATGCTATGAAGTCTTGCTCCTCCATGGTGAAATTAAAATAGAATAGCATCGATCCAGATGGTCACTTTAAACCCTTGTGCAAGAGAAGGGAATCATCATGCAGGGATGTGGGACGATGGGCGTGCAGAATTTTCATTTCCTGTCCAACTAAATCCTGAACAACTTGGGACCAGGATACCACTTTCTTCCTTACGAGCCTGCCTGGTCACTGATGTCATCAGAAGGCATTCCCTTGGTAGCTGGAGTCCTTGCTGGAGTCCACACATCGCAACAAGCCACCCTGCATGGTTTCCACAGTGCACTGACAGACAATCATATGGTTTCTCCACTAGCATGGTTTCCACCTTCCTCTCTCAGTCCTCCTGCTGTTGGCACATATCCAGTCAGCTTCCATGACTGAAATTCAGTACCTCACTGGATGGCTGGAGCCACTCCCGCAGCAGTTGACTCTCTTTCCCGGGCCCTTTGCAGTGGAAACCATGGACTGTGGAAACCATGATGCCAGGTTCAGATGACTGGAGAAACCATGGTGAAGCATGTTAATCATAGAACAGACCTTTGATTCTTATTGTGATTTCTAAAAATAGTCACGGTGGCTTGTGTCTGGCAGTGAGTGGGCCAAGCACTCTTTGCTGACATTTGGGAGGCATGAATGATCAGATTCTGAAGAAGACGCAGAAGAGGAGGCAATGGTGGGTAGGCAGCAGGGTCAAAAAGGGGCAGAAGCTTTTAATGCTCCATCAGGTTTGCTGCCTGAAGTTTCCCAGGCCAACCGTGAGAGCAGGCTTGGTTTAGAAGGGACAGGAGGGGCTTCAGGAGAGGAAGGGGACCAGTTGCTTCCCCTTGTCCCTGACCCCATGAAGAGGCTCTGGGAGAGAGGAGAGGGCTGCCCACCAGCAGGAGCCATCCTGAGGGTTGAGTTGCAGCATGGCTGAGGAGGACGGATGGGGGTGGGGGGAGTTTCCAGCTTGGGTTCAGCTCTCTTTACATGAGCAGAGGCTTATCCTTCTGCTTATTTCTAGAAAGCAGTTAGCTTTACATTGTCTTGTTAGCTGTGACGTGTCAATAAAGATCTGCATTGTGAAGGATCTGCTGGTGTTTTGGAGCCTATGGCAAGAAAGAAAGGGCTGGGCTTGGGACAGTAACTCTGCATTGTGTTGGTTTTGGTGTATTTGTTTTAAGAAGCCCTCCTTGTTGATCAGCCATTATTCCTTTTTTTCCTGTTCTATCTTACTGGTTTTCACTACTCCAGAACTTTTCTAAATATGAAGTAGTTTAAATAAATCTGTTAGAGTACTCCAAGCATCCTTTGAATTCCCCAAATATGGGTGTCCTTAAGAGACAGAGTCTTTTAAAGATACACACATGTACACAAACTCACACACACTTTAGAGCATAAGTAAATTAGTATATGCAAATATGAGTGTTTGTCTTAAGCCTTGAATCTTTTCAGTATATTTTCAGTACAGCTGCTGGTGGGTTGATATCCAGATAGAGGTGGTGGTGTTATTGTTTTTATTATTACTAAACATCACATTTATAACACAGCCTTTTTCTCTTTTGAGGAACCCAGGGTAGCTTACATTTTATCCTCATAACAACAACCCTGTGAGGTAGGTTAGGCTGAAAGTGAGTGATTGGCTCAAAGTCACCCAGTGAACTCCATGGCCATGTGGCTTTTTTGCTTGTTTTCATGGAGGCAGTGAAGTTGACTTTATTTGAGTAGTACTTTCTGAATATTGATTTTATTGTTGTTGTTATTAATAATAATAATTTCTCTACTGCCCCATAACTGCAGCTCTGGGCCAATTTTATTGTGTACCTGTTGCTGTTTTAAAACTTCTGTTTGGGTTTGTTTGCTTATTTTGGTGTGCAGGGTGGTTGGTTGCACTTTTATCTTGCACATTGCAACTTCTGTAAAAAAGAGAGAGAGAGGGGGGGGGGGGGGGGGTGTATAAATCAACCAGTAATAATGTGCAAATGCACTTGGAATCCCAGGAGCTGAAGCATTATTCCAGGCTTTTCCAATGATTATTTAAACTTGGATGGAGAGAGAGAACTTAATTTTGAGAGAGCAGGATTATCTAGCTTTTCTAATTGGCCTTCATTCAGATGTTTGGAAGGCAGAAAGCCAATGACAGAAATGCCAAAATAAGTAGGCATTCTGTTGGCATCGAATGTTGCACGGACCCCCGGCTGCTTAGTCTAATGACTTGTTTAGTCTTGCTTGAAGCTTTCGCTAGCAGCTTGCAGTAATTACCTTGTTCGCCGTCCTCAGCCAATCTACCTTCCTCCCAGGGCTATGTTTAGGCTGCAGTTTAAAGCCCCAGGTTTCTCTGAGAAGTAATAGCCTGGGAGGGGAGGTAGAAAGCTTTGCTTAATGAGTTAAATGCTTTCTCTGCAGGTTTCCTGTCCTTGGCTAGGATTTACTTCTGTTAGTTTCTTGCCCAGCTCCCCTCTATTTCTCTGAAGATCTGCATGCTCTGCCTTGCTGGTTTCTAATGTGTCAGGGGTCTGTCTCTCTTCTTTTTTCCTTCTCTTCGTCCAGCTGACTTGGAAAATGAAGACTGGTGCCTGGGTTCAGAGCTGACTTCGGCTGCCATAAAGACAGAGCCTGCTGTGGGAGATGTGCCGGGCCTTGCTCCTTCAGTCACCCTCACAGCCGCACCCAGCCCCGTAGCCACGGGGCAGGAGGAGCCCCAGGTGCAGCCGGAGGACATGGTAGTTGCTTTTGGTTCTTGATGTCTTAACTGGGCAAAACGGAGCGTGTTGCTGGATAGTAGGGCACGTAAGAAGCCGCTTGACGCCAGGTCGGACTCTTGGTTCACCTGGGTCATCCTTGGCCAGTTGGACCGGCAGCAGGTCTCTGGGACGGATTGTGCCCACCCCCTGCTGCAGCATGAAGCACTTAGCCTGAGATCCCACAGACCGACCCTGGGACCTTCCATACCAGAATTCCAGAAAATGTCAGCCTCTGCAGTCAGGCATTTCCCCTTTGTATTTTCCTTAGAAGGCTTCTACTTCATAAGTAGTGGCCACCACAAAAGTGTGTATTACATGGGCAAGTGCATCCCAGTACCTGTCGTCATGATATCCAAACCTAGAAACATAGAAGCATATTGAGTCAGAAGGGGTCTCCCAGGCCATCCAGTCTGACCTCTGGCTCCAGCCGGCTCTGCTCATGTAATACTGAGCATGTCAGCATCCAGTCTTTCCTTGAACACCCTCACTGATGCCCCCCCCCACCTCCCAGGGAAGCCTTTTCCATATCGTAGGGGTCTTAACCATCAGGAAGTACTTCTTGGCATTCAACCGGAAACCCAGTTCCTTAAGCTGTGCCCCGTTGGACCACATCCTTTCCTCCACAACAGGGGAGAAAAAGTTGCAACCCTCTACCATTGACAGCCCTTCACATGCCTATATGCCGCTATAAGAACCCATCTCATAATGTCTACCTACCCTTTTCAGAGAAGTGGCACCTCTTCTTAATCCTCCTGTTTATCTGGGTTACTGTATTGCAAAGGTAGATGAAAGAGCAGGTCCTCTCCTAAAGGCTTGCCTAAAACTTTGATTTTTTTTCATTTAGGCTAAACACCTGAGTCACAAAGCTCTTCCAGAGATCAAGCTAGAGCCACATGAAGTGGATCAGTTCCTGAACCTTTCTTCCAAGGAAGGTTTGTCATTTACTGTCAAATACTCTCCCCCTGATAATGACAGCAAAAGCAAAACTGTGTTGGATTTATCATTACCCATCAGATGCAGGCAACTGGAAAGCTGCTCATGAGATGCCGCTGAGGTAGAGATGAAAGGTGTGGCTTTGGCTGCAAGGAAAAGCTAGTAAGAGCTAGTCTGGCTTCCTTCCTTGGCCACCTAGTGGAAAAGTGCAAGGCGTGTAAAAGATGCTGCTGCTTCTCTTTACCCCTTTCTTGTCACTGCTCACATGCTCAGAGAAGACAGGTGAAAAGGGGTAGCAACAAGGAGAATGAGCAGCAAAGCCAGAAGGCTCTGGAAGTCAGCAGTGCATTCCATTCTCGGATACAGGCTTATCAGACACCAGACAGTACCAACCCCTGATGCAGGGGTGCAAAACCTCCTGCCCATGGACCACTGGCTTGCAGAGCTCCCTGAAGGAATCTGCTTGCTATTGTCTCTGATCTGAGATGGATGGGTACAGCAGGGATTCCCTGTCCTCATTAAGCGGTAAGGACCATGTCCGGGTGCTTGTCCATGGCTAAGGTGGTTATGTAGCCATGGATGGTCACGTCTTCTCTTTCCTCCCCCATGCAGCAGCCTCAGTTCTGAGATCCTGCCTTGCATTAAGTCCAGGGAAACTGGTGTAATCCTTGCTTATTAATAAACTAGGTTAACAGACAAGACTTAGAACAGGAAGATAAGAATCTCTGATGTGCAGCTTGTTAGGACTGCGGTTGCTTTCCCCACGTTTTCTGTTAGCAGGATTCTAGCCGAAACATGATTCTGGTCCTGATTGCATTATTAAGCACTACTATTCCTACTTGAATCAACGGGGAATTCATTAGTTTGATTTGTATGCCTCTGGCTTAAGAAAAGGCGAATTAATTAATGAATTAAGCTTCAGTCCCAGGATCCCTGGACAGGGATGGGCAGAAGCTACACTAGTTACACTGGTGGGGGTTCAGCCCAACACATGCTTAGACAGAAAAGAAGCCATACGACTCCCAGCACGTTCAGCTAGCATGGATTTCTTCTATCCAAATGTGTAGGATAGCATCCTTAATTGTAGCATTATAGATAGCCCTTTAATGCTCGGGGATGCACATGTGGTGTGTATTTGATATGATGTGTAGTTGCAGGCCACATCAATTCATCTTCTATATTTTGAGTTTTTGAAACTCTTTGGCCTTTTGGTTTAAGCTTTGCAAACTTTGGCCTAGTTCGAATGAAATATGCTTTTCTCCTTGTATATCTGCTTCCCTTCTCCCTCACGGTGGGGAAGATTTTGCTGTTTATTAAACCATTTTGTTGTGATGTCCTAACTGGGAAACCAAAGTTGAAATGCAGGCTATACACCAGGATGTCAAGTGAGACTCTAATCCTGCTTTGTGAGCAGTGCTTATCTCATAGTTTCCTCATTCAGATGTCTTTTTCAAAGCTAGACATGTGACGAGGATGCATGCAAGCAGAAGACTCATTCATAGGCTAACAAACCATGGTTTATCAAACTGAGCTTGCTGTATGAGAACTGGGTCGCTGTTTCTTCTCATGCCATAAGGCAAACGGTCTGTCTCTCCGCCCCCCATTCCCTTTTGTCTTTTGCAGCAGTGGATACCTTGCACATGCCTCCAACGCCTCCCAGCAGCCACGGCAGTGATTCAGAGGGCGGGCACAGCCCAGCAAGATCCCTTCCGCCCTCGAGCCCCACACCATTGCAGGCCACTGTGAAAGTGACATCGCGCACGGCTTCAGCGCTCACCAATTCACCTCTCCTAACAGCGCCGCACGTAGGGAACAGTGGTCTCTCTCTCCTTTAAGCGAACGCAACATGTCTGATTTGTGTGGTACAATAAAATATGTCCTAATGGAAGCCTAGATAAACCCAAAATCCTCCTGTTCTGAGAGCAAGGATCTGCAGCAAGCAAAGGTCAGGGCTCTGTTGGAAACCAAACAGGAGCAAAACATGTTAGCAGCCACTGGCACTGAAAAAATTAAGCTGGGTAGCTGGCACCTAAGGGTAGGAAGCAGATTTCTCTTCCTATCTGCCGCCTCCTACTTGCCAAGAATATCGGCACCCTTTGAATTGCTCTAGCCCAATAGGTGACTGTTTAGTTAAGGGGAACTCTGCATTTGGATACTCCTGCTTTGTTCATTAATGTACCTGCATGGGGCTGTACTCAGTGCACCTCCTCTTGCAGATGGTGCCGATGCAGAGTTTAGACTGGGATGGACTCCACCCATCCCCGGAGCTGATGGGGCGGGAGATGGCGAGTGCTGCTCTGCCTACTCCCTCATCCCGGCCCAGCTTGTGCCCGCCAGAGTGTTGGACTACAGCTCTCAGCATCCTGACCGTTGGCTATGATGGCTGGGACTCATAGGAGCTGAAGTCCACAACGGGAGGAGGGTGACATATCGGGAATCTGTGCAATCCATCCTGGATATGCTGACACAAAGAGAGAGTTTAGTTCCATAGCGATGGAGGAATCTGGATAGTGGATGTTTTTCTTCTCATTTCCTTTTCACAGCTGGAAAGATGCAAGGTTTGCTCAATGGCCATAGTGATATTTTGACTGTCCTGTTAAACATTGAAATGCGGCTCTTAGTCAAGTAATTGCCCTGATCAGTTGAGCAGCAAGTTTTAATTAAAAATAATAATACAAAGTACTTATTAAAATTGTGGATATTCAGTGCCATCTTTGAAAAGGAATTTTCACCAGCGTGTGAGGAGAAAGAAAGATTTCTTCTTCTAAGGTGATGGGGTACTTCAGTGTAGTACATGTCCATAATCTGAAAACAAAATTAGAATGATCCCTTCTCCTTTAAAACAATTATTGTTACATACATGTTTGGACAGAAGAATGTTCTACAGCCAGAGCTCTGACTGAGGAGTAGTAAGGAATTTTCATCAAATAACCTGAAAACTTAATGAGATTTTACAATTGTGGGGTCTTCTTCCCCACAGTTTTATGCATATTTACATGCAAAATGCTACAAGTTCTAGGACTCTCTTTTGTCTACACATGCATCAGAATAATCATCGACTCCTTGATTTTACTTACTTACTTACTTATTTATTTAGACAGCTTGTATGCCGCCCCCTTCGCATAAGCCTCGGGGCAGCTTACAAACATTAAGGATGTTGTTAATTGGGCAATGTCTCTGATGTATTAATAACATTTCAGCTGTAGCTAAGTCTTCTCATGGAAAATGATGGCTGTGATCTCTGGAGTTCTTTGGATTTTTTTAATGACAGTATTTACTTGGGGTGACAAGACTGCAGTGGAGGTCTTCATTCTTAAAAATGCAGTTTTGTACACATGCAGCTTCGTTCTTTCGCAAGAGCTGAGCAGGGCTGTCACGGATAAGAAATGTTGGAGTCGCCATCGGTCAAGATGACTTCTCCCTGCACCCTTGTCACCGTGTCTCTTCCCTTTTGTGTGGATGCTGTAGAAACTGCAGGGCACTGGTCCCTTGATACTGACAGAGGAAGAGAAGAGGACACTGATAGCAGAAGGATACCCCATCCCTACAAAATTGCCCCTCACAAAAGCAGAAGAGAAAGCCCTGAAGAAGATCCGTAGGAAAATCAAGAACAAGGTGGGGATGTTTGCCAACTTGAACTTTTATCTTGGGAAGATGCCCCTCAGCAGATCTGCCAGTATCACTGCTGCCATTTTCTTGCTTTTCCGTCCTTTCTGGACCAAATTTGTCTGGTGGCTACACGGACCATGGCAAACTATGCTCCTGTGCCATCTCTTTGCTCCTGCTGTTATTCATTCAGAGGGCTGGTGAACAGGAAGCTCCGTGACAACCATAGTTAAACATGCCATTGATTTCTTGGGAGCCATTTTGTGACTCTTGACTGCTTGCCCACTCCTGCGTAGGATTGGCTCTGTTCTTAGGTTGTACATTGTAGTGCACAAACCAGGAATTGAGGGTTGTGGATAGGTGAGCAACCCAGATGTTATACTTTTGGTTAAACCCAGTGATCCTCAGTTTTGCGTTCACACATTGCACTAAACATCCCAGAGATAGAGCATCCACAGGAGTAGGCGAGCAGGTGGGAGCCAGTGTGCTCACTCATTCAAAGATGTTCAGAACAGTGCACAGTTCACTGAAACAGTGGGTTGTTGTGTCATCCGAACTGGGTCATGGTGTGGGGCTGGATAGCCCATCCACCAGTTTTCCTTTTCACTCAGATGTGGGTGAGGTGCTGGAGGCATGCTGGGGTTCTCCTGAAGAGGACCATGCCCTGAGGAAAGGATTTGTAATAAAGAAGGCATACTTGAATACTGCTGCTTTATCCGTGTGGACATATTCACCAATTTAATAGGTTAAATCTTATACCATGCTTGATTCTTTAATTGGGAAACAGTCCTAAAAATGCTTAATAAGGGCAGCATGGTTTGAAGTTGTTTTCATTTTCCACTTTGGAACTGCTTGTCCTCCCCTCTCCTTAGACCTCTGTTAAATTATTTTTCTTCCCCTTCTTTCTTTTGTAGATCTCTGCACAGGAAAGCAGAAGGAAAAAAAAAGAATACATGGACAGCTTAGAGAAAAAGTAAGTTGCCCAGAATAATCCATAGAATGAAAGTGTAGTGAAGAGTTGTGAAAGGAGCAGACAGAACAGAGGACTCCATGGTGGAACAGATGCCCCAAGGCCACAGCATCTCAGCTTAATGGGTCTCTCCTGGATAGCAAGCTGAGAAAGAGACCTGTGAGCCGCTGCCAGTCGAAGGAGGCTTGATGGGCCAGTGGTCTGTCTTGATTCTCAGAAAGACATCCAGCTGTTGGTGTCTTCCAGAGCTCATTTTTGATGCAGCCAAAGAATCAACATGGCCCCCAAGACTGAAAACAGTGTGCATGTTTCATGTGCCCCCTAGTGGCTACTAGCAGGGAAAAAACTACCATCAATGGCATAAGAAAATGGAGGCTATGTGTAGATTAGGCTGATTCAATTGGTACAGGCGATTGCAGCTGTTCTAGGGTTAATCACAAGTTCCTTCTTCCTCACGCAAGCCTCCTCTGTTGCATGAGTTTGTGTGACATGACCAACTATGGCAGCTGCCCAGACGGGTGCCCAGTACCCACCATAAATAAGCCACCATGCTGCAGGGATCACACAAACCTGAGAGCTGTTCATAGGCCCAGAGGTGTCATTGTCCCAGCCTTTCATAGCTTTAGAATCAGTTTTCTGCATGCAGAATTTGTGGAAAACAAAGAGCCAGTCTGGCATCATGGTTCAAATATTGGACTAGAACTTGGGAGATCAGGGTCTGTGTTCTCACCTGGCCACAAAGCTCATTGACTTTGGACCAGTCATTGATGCTTAGCCTGACCTATGTGTGAGGATAAAATCAAGAGGAGAAAGGGGATCACATAAGCTACCCCAGGTTCCTTGTGAAAGCTAAAAATGATGGGATGCAAAGCTAATAATCAATTAAAAATATATATTAGGTTTGTATCCAGTGTTCACTTTGCACTAGTGGAAAGCAATGCAGCTTGTGCAAGGCCAGGCATCGGCGTGTCTCTGATCTCACGTACTTATTGCGGCCTTCAGTGCTATGTCTCACGCTGTTCCAAAGAGGGCCCCAAACTTCAAAAGCGCCTTTGTTGGGCAGGGTTTACTAAGGGGTACGGAAGATCAGCAGCACTGCAGTGACCTGCTTTGTGTAAGCCGGAGGTTTTCTGTTAATACACATTTGCTTATTCATAGGATTCTCAACAGTAGATCCTTGGTCCACCCAGACTGAGCTCTTTGTAACATTTAATTCCTTGTCTGTCTCCAAGGGTTGAGTCCTGCTCAAATGACAACACTGAGCTTCGCAAGAAAGTGGAAGTTCTGGAGAACACAAACAGGTATGGTGTCCGTCCTTGAGCCAAAACCAACTCCTTAATCCTCACCTTTTGCACCGCAGTGCAAAACTTGATGGCCCGCAGACATGGCTGACCTGTTCATTTATTCTTGCTTGAAAGAGCTGAAGCGTGGGGAGTGTCAAACAAGCTTTTCTTACGGGCTGTTCTTATATGACTCTTTCCAGAATCTCCTTTGTGCCTTGTTCCTCTTTAAATAGTCTAAAAGTTAGGTTTGAGATTTTTACTGGGTCTTGCTCTTTTGGGACTTAACACTCAGGCTATTTTCTCTCCTGCATTCTGTTGGCTTTTCCCAGAAATCAGCTGATTAATTGATAAGCTCAACCTCTCATAATTTGTTGCATGTGAAATGCTCTGGGTATGGGGCAGCATAGAAATGAAACACATAAATAAAAAGAGATACAATAAATATTTGCACTGCTCTAGCTATGGCAATAAAATATGCTTACAATAAATTTTTATTACAAAGGAAGCTCAGAATGCTGGTGACAAATGCTAAGGAGGATAAATGGAAAGAACTCAATCTAATATGTTCTGTAGTTCAGGAAAGACCTGTTGTTATGTTGTGTTCTACAGAGCGGCTTATTGACGCAGACAAAATAAAGATTCTGTAAACTGCTTTGCAGGCAGTACGCACTGCACATGTTTGAATTGCGACAAGCAGTGTGGACATGGGACCACAGGGTCCCTGCCTGCTGCTTCTCATGGCATAGGCAGCCAGTGCCGGCACAGCATGGTGAAGCACCAGCATCAAGAAAAGAACGTGCCGTTTTCACAGGAGCAGCATCATAGCCGCGCACGTTCTGCTAGTGACGGGCCTTTCCTTTCTCATCATGCATCTGGGTCCTGCTGGCATTCTGCATTATGACAAAGTAGCATCGTGAACCTGGTATGCATATGTAATGCCCTGCACCTGGATAAGAGAGCACGGCCGGCCGGCCGGTCGTGGATAGACGTCATAGTGCTGAAACCGGGGAGGGGGTTACCTTTTTGATGCTGAAGACTGCACAGTCGGCTTGGCAGAGAGCATGTATATGTTGCTTTCTAGAGGGCAAGACGTGTTCCTAAGCTCAGAGGCAGCCCTGGAGTTGAACGTCTCCCACACATGAACTCTGTGTTACCATAGTGAATGCCGGCTCTTGTCCCCGTATTTGCAGAGGTCAGTTGGGGGCAGAGGTGACTCTTGGAAGAGGAAATTGACAGGCTGAATGATCGCCTGCTTAACTCTTTCCACACCCTTTGATTCTAAACTTTAGTGCTGTTGTTGTTATTGTGAATAGCATATTTAGCTGGCATAGACACCTTTCTCAGGAAGCTCTCAGGGCAACTGACAACAAAACTGAAACATACATCAATTAAAATAACTAAACAGAATTATCCACTTAAAGACCACCATCCCATCCCATGGCTAAACTTCAGTGACAGCCACAAACAAAATGGACCGATCTGTGTGTGCCCCTCCTGGCAGTTCCTCTGCCTGGCCGATGCTCTCATTTTGCAACCTGGTTAGTGGTGTCCTTGGTGGCATCTGCGGAGGACGATTGCTGGCTGGGACAGCTAAGGCACCGCTCGTCTCCTGGGTCTTCCCTGCAGAGCACGTGCGTTGCATGCAGATGGTCCCGTGTTGCAATCCTTCGCATTTCCAGCTACACAGAAGCCAGACTGCAGGTGATGAGAAGGGCCAGACCTGTGTCGGAGACTGGAGAGTGGCTGCCAGCTGTAGCAGACTGGGCTGGGCTGCTTGGGCAGTGAGCCGCTTCCTAAGCTGCTGAACTAGCCCTTGAAAGAAGCATCAGTATTCCTTATGTAGCCAGCCTTCCCCAACCTGGTGCCCTCGTTCTTATTATAATTGCATTACATTTCTATACTGCCCATAGCAGAAGCCTTTGGGCAGTTCACAACATTTAAGTCACCCATCCAAATTTCAACCAGGCCTGACCCTGCTTAGCTTCCAAGTTGAGGCAGGATCAGGCACTTCAGGCTATATGGAAGCTTGACTGTCTATATCTTTTGGACTTCAACTCCCATCTGCCTTACTCCCATCTGTCTTATGGCCAGAAATGCTGGGAATTGTTGAAAACACTTAGAGACCACTAGGTTAGGAAAGGCTGTCCTGTCCTGTACCAATTAACTTGAGTGGCTTTTTAAAAGACCTCTTTTTTGGGTTTGTACATCAGTTTTCCAGTTGGTTAGAGAAAGATTTATATTAAAGATCGCTTCTCTTTTTCTGTCTGACAGTGAGCAGTAACTTCTGTTGGTTAACTTACTGTTTATTAAAAGGCCATCCCAAGACCTCAGTAGCGGCAGGGATATAAAAGTTTTAAACAAACAAGCTTGAGAGTAACTTTTCCTCCAGATTTCTCTCTAGGGTCTTCACAGAGCCTTTGCAAAGTGTTGCAAAGTGCAAAATGTGCTTCCATTTTAAGACATTGATCTGTGAAAAGCTAGTCATTTTTTATTTAATTGACTGTCCATTGACATATTAAAAATACTTGGATTGTGATTTGCTAATAAGGTATTCAGAGGCCTGTTTTAAATGGGAAGCTCCTATCTTTTCCATTCCTATTTAAAGACTACAGACCTTGCTTTTGGGGGTTTTACTGGGATTGACTCTACCGGAATATAATTTTCAAACTCTACCTCATCCCTCCCCCACACATCCTCACAGGTTTTTCACCCATCGAACTATGGATTGAAAACCTGATCAGCCTTTGATAACATAGAAACAGCGTGAGTCAGAAGGGGTCTTCCGGGCCATCTAGTCTGACCCCCTGCTCCAGCCAGCTCCTCATTAAACACACTGCAGACATATTTGTGTTCATGGTAACATTGATGTAAATACAACTTGCATTTTTTGGTTTGCTCTTTTCTGTGTGGTGCACAATCACCCTCATCCGCCCTGTGTCATCTGTGCATGAAAACACCCTCCGGTTGCACAACGTACTGCGCAAGCAAGCGGGATGCAAGAAATTTCCCCAAGTGATTAATTTCCCCAAGTGACCCCCAGTTTGGATCGTTTTGCACATCACAGAGTAGCAGAGCCATGTATACCATCAAGACTGTGCCTATACACACCAGTTTGATGTGTGGCAGGCATTCAGCATCAGCCTGGCCCAACCTAGTGCTCTCCAGAGCTGCAGTTGTACACCTCCCATTATCTCCAGCCAACATGGCCATTCTGGGAATGATGGGAGTGTCATCCATTGGATTTGGAGGGCACCAGCTTCAGGAAAAGTACTCCCTGGGTATACATAAATTAGGATGGACCCAAATGGCATAAATTTAAATTGCAGTGCAACTCCAGATAGCAGCAATAAAAGTTTTCCCTAAGGTGAAGATACCTTGCCACTTACAATTTACTCTTCTTTCCCATGATGAGCTGAGTTGTCATTCCTAATTGCCGATGCACCACTGGACTCTGGGATTTTCTCTGAGTAGGAGAGTAATCAAGATACTGTTCTTAAAAGAAGTAGGCAGGTTCAATGCCGTTTATGAACTAAATGAAAGAAGGGTTACCGTCCTGTTCTTTTTTAAATAGCATGTGATTCAGAGTCATCTAGGGAAATCTACACTGAGGGGACACAACTTTCCATCCTTCTCTCGCTGTCCATCATGACATACCTCTAGGGCATCAGGTCACTGTGTATAACAAAAATGGAAGGCTTGCTTAACTTCGGAGCTTGTTAGATGCTCTTGGAACTTGCATAAAACGTCCTCAAGCTTATGTCACCTGACTTTGATTTTCAGATAATTTAAGTACATTCAGGTTTCTCAGGGACAAACCAGATGGGATGGAAATGCACGAATAGCTTAGCAGGGGAAAAAGAGCCCTGCTGGATCAGATCAAAGTTCTGTTGAACCCAGTATCTGGCTTAGTTTCATGACCAGCTTTTAGGAAGCCCACAAGCGGAACGTGCGGGCAATAACTCTGTCCTGCTACAACCGTCTCCTGCAGAAGGTTTCAATGGCTGTGCTGCCTCTGAATCGGCAGGGCGCATATTGCCATCATGGCCAGTAGCAGTGGACAGCTACTGGCCATGTCCAGTTCCACTGTAAAGATGTCCAAGTTGGTGGCCATCACTACCTCTTGTGACAAGGAATTCTGCAATTCAAGGGTGAGAAGAAGTGCTTGCCTTTATCTGTCCAAATCTCCCACCATTTAGCTTCACTGAGTGCCTTGGCTGAGCACTGGGCAGAGAATCGGTATCAGTCATCTGCCCTTGCCTCCCCCTGAAGGCTTCCTTATCACCCTACGTACTTCTTGTCTGATTTTCTCTTGCTGGCGCATTCCTGTTTCTCTTATATCAGTCCTTTGCAATTGCTGAGGGTGATTTCCTTGCATCTGTTCAAGGTGCTAGAGATTGTAGTACCACAGAATTCTGAAGTTGGAAAGGTCATCCAGTCCAACCCCAGGCCAATGCAGAATTGTATGCAGGTGATAAGGAAAAGTGCTCACACACACACTCACACTCAGGTGAGACATCTAGACTGTTTGCAAAGTCCCTATGAAGGGAAACCTCCAGTTCCTCAGGCAGTATGTTCCACTGAGAAATAGCTCACTGTGCTAGGAGAGCACTTCGTGGTGACCTTTGATGTTGCAAACTGTTTAGCAGCAGAAAAGAAAATGGCGAACTTTTGGAAAGTTTTCTAGCAGATGGCCATCTGACAGGGCCGTTGTAGCAGTGGATTCCTCTCATTGGTGGGAGTTGGTTAGAGGATGGTGGAGGCCCTTCCAAACTCTAGGAATCTATGGTTCCATGCTCCCTTGCACCTCGAAGGAAGAGATGTATTAGTGGATAGAATTATTCCATTTTATCCACACAGCAACTCTGTGAGGTAGACTAGACTATGACAGTACCAAGACCACCCTGTGCACTTCAGGCCTGGAAGGAAATTTGAACCCAGGTCTCCAAGTTGAAGTCAAGCATTTTGTCCAAGGGTTCACACTTGTTTGTTGAACACCAGTTGTAAGTCTCCTAAACAGGGTATGTCTCATTTGTCCGCTCTGCACCTTATTAAGCACACCCGTGCAGCTAAGTACAATAGCGACCATGTTAAAACAGATCACAAGTAAATTCCCTCTGCAAATCAGTGTGGACGTGTCTGGTTCACCAAAGCCTTTGTGACCTTCAATAAGAGGAATAACCGGAGACTTTTACTGTGTCATCCACATGCTTGTGTGTGAGAGAGTGTGTCTTTTCATGATTCCACACTCAACTTACCCCTTCCATTTTCAGCAGACAGTTGCCAAAATGGAATGTTATTAATAAACCAGAAGGCGCCTTCCCTCTTGGGAGAGTGAGGCTTTTGTCCGTGAGTTAACTCCACCCCCATCTTTTATGCCCAAATGGAGTTGGAAAGAACTTTTATCCTGCAGTGGGGGGTTGCCATAATCAGGCACGTGAGCTGTCATTTCAGTTTCTTCTTATTGACTGGATGATAGGCTGTGAATATTTTAGGAATGTCAGAAGCTCTCACAACCAGATGACTTACTGTATGTATCTGGCCCAGAATTTTGTATTCTGTTTGGGAGGAGATCAGTACATTTTCACCATCACTTTTTGCCTGATCTTTTAAAAATTGGAGATGCCATCAATCCATCCTGGGAGCTCCTGCATGCATGCAAGTGCTTGACCCCTGAGCCAATGGGCCTGTGTTTCTAATTATTTAGTGCAGTGGAAAGATCATGGGAATCTGCCCCCTATGGAGTCAGGCCCTTGGTCCATTTAGCTTGGAACTGTTGACATGGACTGGCAGCCATTCTCCAGGGTTTCAGGCAGGATCCTGCTCTCCTCCCCAGCCAGAAATGCCAGGAGACAAACTTAGGATCTTCTGCATGCAGACATGTGGCTTTGCCACTCCACTATGACTCTGTTCAGTGGGGTGGTTGCTGGTACCACAGCTGCAATTTGCTGCAGTCAAAAGGTGTGAGTTGTGGTGTAGGTTCTTAATAAGCCATATATGCGGGTTTCCTCAAAGGCAGGCAGCCGTGGGCTTTTGACCTGCCCCTCCTGATTCAGCCCCTACAAATCAAGCCAGTGGGCTTTGTTTGCCTTTTTATTTGTTCCAACCAAGCCACAAGCCTCACAGGAATTTGAGCAAAGCCAGGGAGGGCTGCCCATCAGCAGGAGTCGTCCAGTAGTGGAAGCACAGAGCAGGCAGTAAACCTAAGCACTGGGGTTTGTAGAGCCTGGAAGAGCTCCGCAGAGAAGCAGATACTGAGCTGATGGAGGCCTTTTATAACCAAGCAAGACCAAGATGGCCCTCTTGAAAAAAAGCTTTGAATGATGGATGGACTGGATTCAGACAATTCAGTGCAAGTATCAGTCCTGGCATCTGAGAGACGGTCAGGCAGCTTTTTCCCTAAAAGAATAGTAGATGCAGGGGGCATTTTGAGTCGAGAAGTGGCAAGCATCAATTTTGCCTTTCCACCACCCACCATTTGTCCGCTCTAAATTACCTTCACATGAACAAAACACAGGTAAACGTGTGCGAAATTGTGCAAGGGTAGTGGAGTAGAGTAGTGGGTGTGGATGATTTGGGCTAGTGAAATGGCAGGCCGGAAATAGATAACACTACTCCTCCTTTCCTCTTTTCTCTGCTAAAAACATTTTCTTCCCAGCTGCTTTCAGCTTTAAAGAAAAAGCTGGAGTCTGGTCTTTGTCACTTCCATTTGCTCGTGAAGTTTACTTAGTCGTTGACGAAATATCTCAGGTAGCCTTGCTTGGTGAGAATGAGTTGCCTGGTCTTGAAAAAATGAAGAGGAAAGAACAGCACCCACATAACCCCCTCCATTTTTTATCTATAGTCTCTTGAGTGTAATGTTATTTCATAATTTTAAGAAGTGATGCTTCTGGGATCATTCTGGGTACTAATTTAAGCCTGAACTTCTAGAGTCCTTGAATTCATTTAGTGCATAATTAGAGAAACTTTAAAAAAAATCCAAAGACAGGCCTATATACATTCAGTTCTCAAGATACTTCTGCAAATGAACGTCCTACAACCAGATTTCAATATTTTCTCTTTTTAAAACAATAAGAAGGTAATAGTAGTTGTTCCCTTTCTTCATCTGTTGGAGAATCATGTTAATTGTATGCATAGATCCTGGTACTCTGCATATAAAATATGATACTCTGCATATAAAAAACGCTTTAGAGAGCAGAGCATACATATTTCCTGCAACTTGAAAATGTGTTCCTTTTTCTTGTGAACAAAGCCATAGGTTCTCTGGGCGCTTGATAAACTGTGGAAGGATTGGATCTGGACCATTGCTCAACTGTTGGCTTCCTCTGTTCTATACAGTTCAGGCCTTCCAGCAACCCAGACTGAAATATAATAACTATGTATGTGCATACATGAATATCATTAGCCCCAAATGGATTAAATTCTTAACTTACCATATAGGCCTGGCAGAGCACAAGGACGAGAGTAAGAATTGATGAATGACAGGCAAATTCTTAACGTGAATTTGTCTGGTACCACATCTTCCATTAGCAACCCAGGAAATGACTTGAAAAGGCACAGGGGTTAGAGAGTTGACCTGGAACTTGGGAGCTCCAGGTTCTAGACCCCCACTCGGCCATGTAGCACAGTGGGCGACTTGGGCCCATCACTGACTTTCAGTCTAACCTACCTTACAGGGTCGTTGTGAGGACTGCATCTTGGGTTCTGTGCAGGACAATAGCTGGGCTATGAATATATAGATGAATACGAAGTTCATGGGGAATAAGGCTTGAAGTCTTGGTGGTTATTATTATGGCCTGGTACCAGAAGCAGCCTTTGTTTTTGGGGGCTCCCTAGAGGCATCTGGGTGGACCCTGTAGGAACAGATTTGGTCCGAAGCAGGGTGGATTTGCGTCGGCTGCTGCTGCGTACTGATTCCTCTGGCCCTTCTCTCCTTTCAGAACACTCCTGCAGCAGCTGCAGAGGCTCCAAGCCGTGGTGGCAGGCAAAGTGTCGCGCTCGTGCAAAGCCGCCAGCACACAAACGGGGACCTGTCTCATGGTGAGGCCACGCGTCAAGGGCCTCCTCTGGGGCCTGCGCTTGTCTGCTCTTCGCTCCGGCAGCTTGGCTGCAGTGGCCACGGCACAGTGGGCAAAGTGCTCCTACAGCTCGCCAGGGCTCTGCAGTCCCGCCAGCATTTCTCTGCTCGATGGTGGTCACGTGGGGCACGGCACCGTTCATGCAGTTCTGTGGATTTTTTCCTTTTCGAACGAAGTAGCAGCCGTGGCGGGAGGGGGCTGGTCTAGACTGGAACCTTGGTGGGAGCAAGGCCCTTACTCCCACTCAGGATCATGAGCCTCCATGCATTTAAAAAATGCTTTATTTGCATAATTGCTAACTGCATGAAGGCTGGCCCATTTGGTTTGGTCCTGTGACCTTCTACATATTAAGATGATTGCCAAGTGAGAACTGGGTGGAGAAAATTGCTGTTTGCTCTGCCACTCCGTTCTTTCTGTGTGGGAGGCATGGGACACGTCGTGATGGGAATGGCATGGAAGACGGGAGCCTTGTCTCTTGTCGGGGCTCCTGGAATGCAGTGCTTGCCCTGGTGGGCTGGCAGACTCCGGTTCCCTGGGACCGAGAAGCTCTAAAATGGCACTAAAAGCTCTAAAATGGGTGAAGAAAATTGGTACATTAAACCCCCACCTAAGATGATTGCCCAGCATTTCCTGTATGCATTTTCCCTTCCCAGAATCACATGCTTATGTGTGTTTTAAATTAAGGAGTGGTAACGCATTTCAGTTCTTCTGCATGGAAAAAACTCATCTGAGTTTTTTTTGAAAGTGCATGCCCTGGCTGGCCGGAAAGGCCTCCCCGCTGATGTACTGGCTCTCCTTGGGCAGGGCACGTTCAGCCACACATTTCCTTCAGCTGCATTATGAAGTGGTATCGTTCCCAGAGAATTGGTACCACCTGCTTCTGGGCTGGCTTTCTGCATTCGATGGAAATGGGAAGGGCTTCTGCTTCCTTCTTGCTGCATTCATCCAAGAGGAGAAATGGTTTTGGAACAGATGTCCCTGTCCATGTACCCATCTCCCCCCCCCCCGCCACACCCACCCCACACGAGGTTTTGGGTTTCAAGAATATCCTGTTAGGCTCTTTTTTAAACACCGGTGTGTCCATCAGCACAAGCCACGCAGGAAGCGCCCGCTGTGATGTTATGAAACAACATTGAAATTCACGTCACAGTCTAGTCTAGCCGAGATGGATTTCTTACCTTTTGAGTTTTGCAAGCAAGTGGTTTGCCTGAGCAGAATGGCTGCAGAGCTTCCAGGACTGCCCTACTCATGCCAATGAGTTCCTTGTTAAACTGGAGCTTCACTGCCGCTGTGCTTCTAGTTACAAGCATCCCATCGAATGAGAGCTGCACCTCGGGGTTGGTTTCAGTATGAGCTCTCCTGGATTGTATTCAGACAACCAGGTTTGGTTTTATTGTGCTTTGTAAATTGTTGCATACGCTTTTCTTTTTTCCTGCCAGGTGGTGGTGTTATGCTTCGCAATTATTTTGGGCAGCTTCCCGCAGAGTTACGGGCCTAATTCCTCCATCACAAAGGCAGCCCTGCCGCCCCAGCATTCCACGCCAGAATCATACACAGCCTCTATAGGTGAGTGGGAAGCGCCCTCCCTCCCCGCTCCAACAGCCTCTCCCAGCCTTGGGTCCCCAGGTGCATGATGGCGGCGGTCATCCCCACCCAACCCACAACAGCTGGGGTTGGGAGAAGCTTGTACCCTGCAGCTAAATAAGACACACTTTGCCTAGGAAACCAGAGGTCCTTAGGAAATGGCTTGGTAGGATAATGATGGGGGGGAGTAATTGGAGGTAAGTTCTCCTTTCTGCTTCAATGGGGCCGTGCAGGAAAGAGTTGCCTCATCAGGGGGGAACTGGACCTCGCTTTCTGGACCTGCTGAGTTCCTGGCACCCATTTTGACAACTCCCGCTTTGGAACTCCACTTCCAGCTCCCCTTTTGCAGCTTTGGGGTCATTGCTGGCTGCACGAGGAGCTTCCTAATGAGATGCAGAGGCAGCTGGGCAGGAGGCGAGGGGTGGACGGTCCTTTTCAAGAGCAGGCTGACTTCTGAGACTTGAAGAGGTCCAGTCTGAACACCATGTAGAGAAAGGGCTGACTGCACAGTACAGCAAATGCTCTGCAGGCGGAGACCCCGCTCCAGCCCCTGGATTATCTGGAAAGGAGATGCTCAGGGCTGGGGAAAGCAGAGCACTCCCCGACTTCTCCAGGAGTATATGGGCAGCACATCTCAGCCCAGCAGTGGATTTCCCTTCAAGGGACGTGCTGCAGAGAGCAAATGCTTTGCGTGCAGAAGATCCCAGGATCAGTGCAGGAGTAGGACAGCTGTGAAGGACAACTTGAAGACTCACAGATGATGATAGATTGTGTTGAGCTGCCTAGGTCTTCTCCAGCTTGGCACCCTCCAGATGTGCCAGGACATAGTTCCTATCTAGTCCAACTTAGCTGGAGGGTGGAAGGTTGGGAAGGCTTGCTTAAGTTTCTCTAACTCCATATAGGCAGTTGTGAGTTCATTGGTTGGAATCCATGAGCCCTAGTGGGTTTTCTTCCCTGCTGATGGGCCATCCTTTACGGCTCAGCTTGCTTCTGCCCCGTCTTCCTCCCTCTTTGTGCCCAGTGCGGTCAAGGAGCCTGCTGACCTACGAGGGGCCTCACGCGCTGGAGGAGCAGCCCTTCTTGGACCGCAGCGCTGGCCGGGACAGGCACCTGGAGGCCTCCAAGCTTTCCGCCCTGTCTCTGGAGTCTGTGCCCATGTCACAGCACGACCAAGTCACGGAGATCACGATAGGCAACGAAACGAGGCTGGAGAAGTCCATGCTGGTGGGGCTGCAGCCGCACAGGTGAGGGAGTGGTGAGGGAGGGGGAGCCGGCGTGTGGTTCAGCGGCCTCTTGCGCGTTTCTGGACTGGGTGTGGGGCACAGAGAAGTGGAAGGGCTGTATGGTGGCTCATTTGCTGCAGGGAAAACAGCCACTGTTGCCGTGAATGGCAATAGCGCACAGCTGCTGCAGTATGTATATGCGCCTTCCTGTTATACAAGATCTCAGGACAGCTCACAATATTTAAGAGGACAATTAAAACAAGAATTTCAATAATAAAACAGAACAAAACAATAAACCAAACAGAGCAACTAAACTTAAAAACTATTAGAGTTTAAAGTATTGTTTAAATAAAAAGGTTTTGGCCTGGTGCTGAAATGAGTATAAACTTGGCACCGGCTGTACCTCTCTGGGGAGTACATTCCAGAGTCTGGGTGCCACAGCAGAGAAGGCCCTACTCCTAGTTGATGACCTTTTTACCTCTCTTAGAGAGGGTTCCCAGAGTAGGGCTTCTCTCATAGATCTTAAGGGGTGTGAGGGCATATAAGGAAAGAGACGTTCCTTCAGGTATCCTGGTCCCAAGCCATTTAGGGCTTTATAGGTCAAAACCAGCACCTTGAATTGGGCCCAGACTTCAACTGGAAGCCAGTGGAGCTGGTGGAGGACCAGTGTTATGTGAGAGTAAAGACCGGTCCCCGTCAGCAGCCTGGCAGCTCTATTCTGCACCAGTTGCAGTATCTGAACCATTTTCAAGGGCAGCCCCACGTAGAGGGCGTTGCAGTAATCCAAGCGGGAAGTTACCAGAGCATGTATCACTGTTGCTAGGGAGTGTTCATCCAATAGGATGGAAAGCACTCGCAGGAAAGCCCAGAGACTTGGAAGCCACCTCTGGCCAGCCATGTGGGGTCAGCAAAACTGCTCTTCTCTCTTCCAGCAAGTCTATCTCAGGGCGGCCATTGGAATCCTGCAGGCACTGAGTAGCTGAATGCGAATTTTAAAGCTGCAGCTATTTTCCTGTGAGGAGAAGCAGTGGTGCCAGAGGATGGCAGGGCAACGTAATCTCCTTGGTTTTAGATGTTAGGTGCACTATGTCCCAGGTAGCATTTCCTTAAGAGCCCCCTCAATTTGCCATATAGCTGGGAAGGGTAAATTTGCCATTTTTATAAGCACTTGAATTGAAAGCAATAATGCATTTAAAATAAGATCTAAGTTGCTGAGGGCAACTTGTTAGTTAGAAAAATATTTTCAAGGCACCATCTTATGCACGTTTGGAGAAAAAGAAAGGCCTATAACTCCCAGTGCATCCCGGTCTTTCCCAGCCTGTTGCTCTGCAGATGTGCTGGACTATAACTCCCATCTTTCCCAACTAGCCTGCAGTCCGGCACAACTGGAGGGCACCTATTAATAGTGCAACTTTATGCAAATCTACTCAGAAGTAATTTCCCTTGTGTTCAATGGGACTTCATTTCAGATAAGCAGCTACAAGACGTCCACCTGACTCAGTGCTGTGTCCCCATACAGAGCACGTGCTTTGCAGCGGGAAGGTCCCAGGTTCAAATCCTGGCATCACTAGTTAAGCAAGTATCAGGCAGCGATCTTGGTACTGTATGGAGGAGCTGGTGCAGGCATTCGTAACAGCCATTGGAAACCACCTGCGTGGCTTGTTTGCATACACTGCCGTTGTGTTGTACCCTGACTTCTTCCCCTCCCTCTGGTTACAGAGTCAACTCAGAGCTGGAGGCAAATGAAACACTAAAGATCATCGAAATTGACAGACGAGTCAATGCTACTTCTTAATAAGAAAAAGAATCAAATGTGCACGTGTGCATACACACAAAGGAACATTTTTGTTCTTATCCTGTCATCATCTTTCCAGCCGAAGGTGAAACAAACTCATCACTGTCTGTAGCACAAAGAGCAAGAAGGAGCATTCATCTGAGTTCTTCATTTGCCTGCAAGGAAATGGCTTTGGCCGGCATTTCCGGTCCCCACCCCCCCGGCCCTTGCCCCACAAATCTTTTTTCCTCCTACACCCAGGGAGAAGGATCGCAAGCAGCCAGTGCTGGGGAGGTGTTGTCGGTGGAGCAGGGTGGAGCAGCCACGTCTCCCAGTTGAATTGCAGAGTGTGACCTCACCTCACTGAAGCTACGGCAGATGTCTTGTCTCTGCTTTTACCATGTTATGCAATGTGTAAAAAGGGACAAACAGTGTCTAGATTCAGCCAGAATCTGCCTCCTGTGGGTGGATGAAGGGTGACTTTCCACAGGCTTTTTTTTCTTTTTACAGGGAAATGTCACCATGAGGTAGCAATTCTCATTAATGCTTCAGCAATCATTTGTTTTTAATTATTATATTCCCGCATGGTGAAGCAGAAGCACAATTTCAAGATAGGAGAAATAGAAATATAACTACAAGAAACGTATATTTTTCCCTCACTAGGAGAATTGAACTGTAATAATATCATATGATTATGATGAAGGTTGGAATGGACATTGAATCCAGTTCTGGCAAAACACTTTGGCATTCCAGGAAAAGGTCCCCCCATGTTCATCACTGAGATGTGTAGTGTAACCTGAAGAAAGCGCCAGTTGAGCAGTTTTCATCACTGATTTTGTTAATGTCAGAGGTATGAGCAGGTACAGGATTATCTTCACCTCATTGTGACATTTCTCTTTACAAATGGAAAAGCTTGGACTTGCATTGCAGCAGGTTTTCATCCATCTGTCTTTTAACTGAGAGGGAATGGAAGAAACTTCAGTTCTTTAGATGAAGCCTTGGCAAGTGGGAGGGTGCTGTTGTCTCCGTCGATCAAGTAACTTTCAGCTGTATGTATGTTTTCATGTTGCTATAAATGGGCCCACAGGATCCTTTTCTTACCTTCCCTGTGGCATAGCGTAGAATAGACATTGATAATATGGAGAGTGGATTATTAGGACCCCATATCCTTCAGCCATTAAAGCTAATTTTTGTGTGACTTGACTACGAGGAAGGACATCCCAAGCGCACACACACCACACAAACCCCTTTGGAACCCCTCTTGATAATAAATGGAGATTCAGACAAATTCCAGCCAGGATGGTGGTGTAGTTAGAGCATTTTTCAGATCACTCTGTGCCACGTTCACTGGGCAGACGTGGGCCCATGGGCCAATTCTCTCTCAGCCTAGCTAAGAGGGTTGGTGTGAGTATAAAGTAGGCAGGGAAATTCTTGGACAAAAGAGGGCATTTAAATAACCAAGCAGACCAGCAAATGCAAGTTCTGTTCAGTGCTGAGCAGGGTTGTCCCTCTGAAGACAGTGCAGCATTTTCTAGGCTGAGGCCTCTCCAGCTTCCAAGCAGTGAATTAGTGGGGGTTGTTGAGGAAGGCATGAAAAGACCCCAGGCATGTGAGACTGCCCATGATGAATGCTTTTCCTCGTCTATCCCTGCCTTGCATCTCCCTTCCTTTGTACGATCATGTGCAAAGCAGTCGCCAGCATCCCCTTGTGTGGCTACCTTCCTGCAAGAAAAGAGGTCACTCTCAGTTCACCCTTCGTTTGGGTCTCGTTCGCATGAGGAAGTGGTGCCGGCTGAACCAGATCTAAAAGCCATGTTCAGTTTGTGCCAATTTCTCACACAAGAGCTCCCTACCCCTTCTCTTGTAAATAGTATTTATTAGTTTTTCCATGGCTTCAGCTGGCAGCCAGAATGACAAGCCAAAATCATGGAATCCTTCCAGTGGTTTTGGTGAACTTCTAGGCTCCTGGCATTAATTTTTTAAAAGCTGATGCAATTGTGTATTCATGCTTCTTTCCATGCTTAGATGTTCATATACGCTTTAGCCATGCATATTCTTGGAGCAAGTGTTGTGGTTAAAAACCAGTGAAAGTTTAACTCTACTGTTTATCTTGGGCAGTTGCAAACTACAATAAACTTCTACTTCGGGTGCCAGAGGTCAGTTCTGCACTCAGAAAATTCAAGAGATACCTGATCCTGTTCTCCAATGAGGAATAGTTGTTACACTTGCCTCTGTGTGTCAGTTTCCAGGTCAGGCACAGTCCTGTTCACATCTTTCCAGTGGACACTGAAAAGAATGTATGAATTATGTTAACTGTAGAAAGCTCCTCCCCAGCTCTGTTCATTAGCACAGCCAGAGGTCTCTGATCAGCATTTTAGCTGTCTGTTTAGATCCTTCAAATCATGTTCTCAGTTACCTTCCTGTGGGATGTTTTGGGAATGGCTGTGTATAGAGTGTCAAACTTGGACAAACAATGCATCTCTCATGCTCTGCATTCAACTTCATGACACTGTCTTTTACTGATTCCACATCTCTGTTAGCTCTTGCACTTTTAAGAAATTGGTCTGTGGGACAGAGAAGGAGAAGGCATTTTTTGAAACTCCACATTTATAGCAATCAAGTGTGAGGTTGGGGACACTTAAATTGTGTCACTTAATCATGGCTTAGTATGGCAGATTTCTTTTGCTGTACATATGATTCAGTTCCACTTTTACTGTGCAAATTAAAATACGATCACAAGTGAATGCTTCTGAAACAGATTTTGGCTGATGTAAACTGCCAGTTTCCCATTTCACACCAAGCTGAAGATCTGGTTCTTTTTCTTTAGCTATACTTAGAAACATTTTCTGTTTCCTGATTGCAAATGTGGGTTTAATGTCAAAGTGCCCAGTTCCCCCTTTATTGAAAAGATTCTCTGTTATGGGGTTTCTCTTTCTCTCTCGGTTTAAACCTTCAATTTGAAGAGTGGATGATGTCTAGACACAGTTTGGCTGTCAGTCAAATGAATGAGTAACCGTAATTGCACATTGGGAAGGATTTCCATGAAAAATACCAAGTTTCTAATGTCAGAAGTCCATTGTGCAAACTCCTCCACCACCACCCCCATACACGAACAGCATAAGGTGCTGTATATTTAGCATCCTTTCCCCCACTCTGTGACAAAAATAATTTTCCTGTAATTGCTAATTGGAAAGAGGCCATTTCTTCATGTAGCTTTGAAGGTGAAACAGTAGGCCACTGCTGCAGTGACTCAGAAGAAAGCAGGGCATTGGGAAAGTTCATATTGATTTACTTGGGTGCTTCTTCCGCCACTTGGGTGAGTGGCTAGGGCCTCCAGGTACAAATCCAACATTGATGTCTCGTTATTTTGGATCCTGTGACCCTGTATCAGTGAAGGACTCTCCCCCCTCCCCCCGGCCTCAGGCCTGAGCATCAGCTGTGGTGCATTGTGGTAAAATCACTGGCACTCAACTAATTCCTCCCCTTCTGCTCTTCTGATCTGCATGTTGGAATATTCTGAGCGAGCTGAACTATGTGCAGACCTTGAAAAGTTAGCGTGGACAAGTGTCCAAGTGGCTGTGTATCATTTTGCTTAGAGAACTGGGCATGTTCGACCTTGAGAAGAGAAGACTGAGGGGGGACATGATATCCTTCTAAAAATCACTCGAAGGTTGTCACAAAGAGGAAGGTCAAGATCTCTTCTTGCTAATGCCAGAGTATAAGACACAGAATAATCAGTTCAAGCTGTGACAACCCTGATTCAGGCTGGACATCAGGAAAAGCTTCCTCACTGTCAGAGCAATATGACAGTGGAACCAGCTGCCTAGAGAGGTGGTGGGCTCTCCCACACTGGAGACTTTCAGAAATAATCGGAACAGCCATCTGAGTGGGATGGTGTAACGTGGTGTCCTGCAACAGCAGGGGGTTGGACTTGATGGCCTTCATGGCCCCTTCCAACTCTACTATTCTATGATTTTGAGCCTGTTTCTGTTTCCTGATAATCTAATTCCCCAAATAACCATAGTTTGGTGGTATCTTTAGTAGGAGGTGAAATCATAGGGTTAATGGAAATAAAAAGTGAAAAAGGTGCTAATTCAACTAAAGCTTAGACACTGTCATCCTAGCATTGCTGTTAATTCCATCCCATTGAGCACCAAGACTCTAGTCTTCCTCCACAATAACACAGTTTGTATATTCAGGGACATAAGGTGCAGCAGTTCCTTTTGGTATCTCCTGTGCAAAAGATTGAGTGTTCTACTTGTACATTTTGATTTGTTGTTTTGTAGAAATGGGGGATACATAGTTTGCAGGGGTCTGCCTAAAGCTTGCTACCTTAGAATTCACAATTCCAAATCTCATTTGCCAGAAAACTGGCCAGTCCTATCTTTTGAGAGTGGTTCCATGTGAGGGATGGAAGTGAGCTATATGATGTACTCTGTAGACAAAAATGACTGTAACTATAACATTCCTACTAATGCTCAAAGGTGGTCTTCTCCAATCTGGTGGAGCCCAGACATGTTGGATGGCATGCCCATAAGCATAATATGCTGGCTGGGGTGGTGGAAATTATAGTCCATCACATGTGGGTGGCATCAGGTTGTGGAATGCTGTGCTAATTCAGTGGCTATCAGAAGTACTTTGTGCACTCATATTAACCTGATGACAAGTAACGGTTAGATGCATTTAAGTCCAGTCCACAAGTTTTGAAGTATCACTCATCTGTGGGGACTTGGCAAGCCCAAATGAGGGATGTATCTGAATGATCCAGCAATGCATGTGTACAGGAGAGAGCCACGGGAAAGATCTACATCATCGGCTTGTTCATGTTCAGACATAGTCCCATGGCAAATAGGATCTCCTCATCAATAAAGAGTTCCCTCATACTTCTGGGCATGTCAATTGCAGAAAAGTATATCACCTGTTTTTATTGTGCACAGTTGATTCAATTTTACCGTGCATGTTCAGTGTGGGTACTGACCAAATCTGATGGTCCTCAACATAGAAACAGCGCGAGTCAGAAAGGGTCTCCTGGGCCATCTAGTCTGACCCTCAGCTCTGCTCACGGCATGCCTACCATGTGCACGTGCAGCCTATCCTTGAACACCCGCACTGATGGGGCTTCAATCACCTCCTGTGGAAGCCCATTCCATACCCTCCTGTCAGGAAGTACTTCCTGGCATCTAAATTGAACCTTGGTTCCCTGAGCTTGGCTGTGTTGGAGCACATCCTGCCCTCCTCTGCAGGGGAGAACCCATCTCTACCCACCTCCGTGTGACACCCCCTCATGTACCTGTACGTTGCCAACAGATCCCCTTGGAGTCTCCTTCATAATTAGGTGTGTGAACAAGCCCAAAGACTCTCTTGCCACCCCAGACATCAAAAGAAGATGAGAACTCATGAGCATAGTGCAAAGAAGCTTTTCTTTCATTCTGTTTCTCCCTCCTTCCCTCCCTTTAAAAAGGATCGTGTTACTGATGATAGAAAGGAGCGGCTGCCAAAGTCTACAGTATTGGACTAGATGAATGAATGATCTGACTCAGTATATCATAGCTAATACCAAAATCATTTGCTCGCTTAACTCAGTATTGTACACTCTGGCATCATTTCTTCAGCACCACAAATGGAGGCCTTGATCTGTCACCTGCTGCTTGATCCCCATTTATTTGTAACCAGATGCTCAGGATTGAACCTGGGACATTCTGCATGCAAAGCATGGTCCCGCTCCAAGCTGTCTTTCAGCAATCCATGGGCACTATATGTATAGGCATATTTGCAGGACTGTGTATATTTGCATATCCTGCAAATACAAGCTGCAAAACCGTTTCCCGTATCCAAACAACTGTTATTTTCTAAGTCTGTAATAGTCACGTACCACTCGAAAATACTCCTAATTTGGTTCGATTTAGTCAGTTCTGATGTACTTTAGTTTGTGATGTTAGCGGTGACCAGGAAGTTCTTGTCTCTTTCTATACATAGAAGTTTCTGCTATTTTTGAGCCAAAACCCCAGTAAGCTGTTTTCAGAGGCCTTTCAGCTGAATCAGGCTCAGCATGTTCTAGGAACATTACCTGTCTCTAAGATGCTTTTAGGTGCTGTGCTGCTCATGTCTACCTGTATTCCAGCTGCAAACGTCTGTTCTGGGGTGCAACTGGCCCCAATTTGCTTATCACATTGGTGAAGTGCTACACCCAAAGCCAAACTAGGGGTGCCGTGGATTCCCACAAAGGCAGGTGTATCTCACCAGTGTTAAGAGAACAACTTCCCAGTGAAGGTAGGGTCTTTCCCAGGAGTGGAGGATGCTCTGCAGTATTTGAACCAGCCCCCAAGCACAAAACACGGGAAAGGTCCATGTCCTCTGTCCCCACAAATGGGTAGGATTAATTTTTCCACTGGAGTTAGGGACTGGCTTCATATATCTCTAGACTGAAATGCTGGACGAGGTTTACAAATGCAATTTATGTGGCCATGGCATGTGCTCTTGAATGGGCTTCCCTCAGCCCATTCCCAGCCTCCCCTCACTTTGCATCATTGCATCACAGGCCTGATCTTGTCTGCATATAATGCTGATGTACATACTGAGTTCCAACCCAAGCAAGAAATTTCCCATTGGATCCACTATCAGAACTGGTTGTATGGCTAAGGACAAACAGCTCAGACTGATTGCATTCCTAATGATAATGGGACCGAGGCTAAAGCCTTAATGCCCTAATAAAGGTTGCAATTTTGTTACATGCACTTAATCCTCGTAAATGCAGCAAGGCACAGCACCTGTTAACTGGCTACAGGATTGGTAGCCGTGTAGGCAACCCAAAGTGATTCACTGGGCCATCTAAATGGACATTATTTTGCCCAGACATTTCAGTTGTGCTTCCTGCTGTGTGAACAGACCCATGTACTTTTGGACAGCAGATTTGTCCTGATGAAATACGGCAATTATTAAGCAAAGTTCATCAGGAGACGTCAGAAAGACATATCTGGTAAATGATGAGAATGCCCCTTTTGATGTAAACTCTTTGCATTCTTTACTGCATCGATTTAATGTTCTTAAATACCGTACTATTTTTGTATTTGTACTTTTTCTATATATGCACTGCTCCTGTAATTGTGTCCTTACATGGTCGTTCATACTGCAAACTTGGGGTGGGGGGAGAATTTCTGTGTAAAAAACCTTTTATTAAGCAGATGAGTGTAAAACCAAATAGACTAAATGCTTTTTTGTATGTAGCTGAGTAAAGTGAAAATACATAATGCTTTATCTGTTTTCTTGCAAATAAATATTTTCCTAAAGAAAAAAGCCTACTTCTCATTCCGTTACTGGTTTTTGTTTCATTCTTTGACATCTGTTTAGAGCAAACAGTCATCTGCTTTTTAAAAATAAAGCAAAAATCACCACATTTCAAAGCTTAGAGTATTTCTGACTTCTTTAAAAATATTGACAGCTAATTATACAGCATGCCTTTAAACTGGAGGAGAGATCAAAACCAGTGATATGTTTCTTAGTAACAAATCTGCTTTTTGCTTTAGAAAAAAAGCAGGTTTTGATTTTTAAAAAATAGTTGGAGGAATGCAAGGGCTCGTAATGTTCAAAAGGGACTACAAGCAGACTGATAATGTGCTTGCGACCCTGTTGGTGGCTTCTGCAGTGGCTGCTGGTCTCCAGGACAATTCAAAGTGCTGGTTACCATCGGACTGTAAGAAGAGCCCGGATGGATCAAACCAAAGGCCTGTCTAGTCCAGCTTCCTGT